GGGATACATTTAAGAATTATATGTTCCACAAGGTAATAATTGATTGAGGCAAGGATTGTTAATGAATGCTAATTCCATTGGATGAAATAAACAGGATATTCACATGGTAGGAAAGTATCACCCCTCATATTACTTACAAATTATAAAGGCTGGTATCTGGTGGTCCCTACTTTAGCTAAGTGATTAAACTTAGCATCACTGCTAATGGAATAAAGAGACATTTGTGTCTCTTAATGTGATGTGACATGACATCACTTCTGAAGAATTCTAGCAAAAAATATTTAACCCAAATCTATTCAAACCTCTAGACCTAACTTCCAGTTTAATGAAAATGAAGGTGATAAAGGAACCAGCATGAGAAAATAATTAGACAAATCCAGAATGCTGGACATTATACCACAAAATTGTTCTGGACTCACGAAAAAGACAATGTAAGAGAGAAAAAAAGAGCAGAGGCATCATTCTAGATTAAAAGAAACACAATAATGAAATACAATGTGTGACCTTGATTGGATCCTGTTTGGGAAATAAAAAACTATAAAAGACATTTTGAGCATAAGTGGAAAAATTCTTATAATGAGGGTGTTATTGTTAATTAATTGACTTATACTTGATAATGATATCATATGTAGGAGAATATCTTTATTCTAAGGTGATGTAATTTGAAATATTCAAGGGTGAAGTGTCATGACACCTGCAACTTACTTTCAAATGAGTCGGGGAAAAAAAACGTATTACTTTGAGAGAGAGAGAGAGAGAGAGACAGAAAGCAAATACGACAAAAGGCTAACAATAGATTAACCTAAGTGGAGCCAATATAGGTGCTAATCGTGCTATATTCTTTTAACTTTCTGGATGCTTGAAAATTTTCAAATTAAAAAATTGGGAGAAAAGTTTAAAAGTGAAAAAATATAAACCAGAAGAAAATAATAGTTAACATTTTTATGATTATGCAACGGAGAAAAGCTTTAAAGTGTTATTTAGAAGTAAAAATCATTCAGTTAAAGACTAATAGATTTAATAATAAAAGGTTAAACTTTTGAATTGTAAGCAAACACCATAAAAAATGGCAGATGATAAAGTGGAGAAAATATATGCAACATATTTGACAGGAAATATTGAGTGCTTATCCTTATTCTTTATTTCAGCTCTTACAACTGAAAAAACAAATAAAAGATTTACAGTGGTAGAAAACTCTACAGGCATGAATAGATAATTCAAAAAAGAGAAAAACATAATAAAATATGGAATACGTACTATTAACAACTTGTTGATGTTTCTCAGCCTTCATCAGAGTCATCTGAGATACTTGTTAAAAATGGAGCTTCCTGGACTTTACCCGTTACCTACTGAACCTAAATTTCTGGTGGTGAGGCCCAGGTCTCTGTATAATAAAATCTCCCTAGACGATTTAGATGTATGTAACAGTGGAAAATTGAAGAGTGGGAAATTGTAATCCACCCCACCATTCTTTGACATTGTTTCTGTAAGTGCTGACTCTGACTAATATGCAGCTTGTAGATGAACAGCATGTTTATATAAGAATCCTAGGAATTAGCTTCGAAAGATACAGACTCCGACCCTCAGGCACCTCATCTCTGGGAAATTTGCTGACCTTCAATAGTGGAGCCAGGATGAAGTAAAATCAGGAGGACATGAAGCCAGGATGACTACACCAGGATGATGCACACTGGACCGTCATTTGTCAGATCAGTATGGACTGTGCTTGTCTGCACATGGAGAATTTTTCAACCCCCTTCCTTGATTTGTTTGTTCTGTTCCCCTCTCCCTCCTTATGAAAAACTGCTGCCTCCACTGAGAGGTGGAGGTGGGCTTTGAGACATGAGTCCCCCATCTTCCAGATGTACATCATGTGAATAAACCACTTTCCTTTACATCAGCACCTGCCTCTCAAATGTTGGCTTTCATAGCGACAGGCAGCCAGACCTGTATTTGCTTATGTGTACACCATTTGAGAATTAAGGGTATGACTTAAAATTTTCCTTCTTTCAATCTGCTTACATACTTTTGTTTCAAAAGAAATGCATGAAAACAGAGCCCAGTCTTAATGTTACCTCTTCATGCTTATGCTGAGTACAAATTCCTTAGGCAAATTCCTTAACCTCTTGGAACCTCTGTTTTCTCATGTGAGTAATAACTTCCTTGGAGGACTATTGTAAGGACTAGAGACACTGTAAAGTGTCTGATGCCCTGGTTGGTGTGGCTCAGTTTGTTAGAGCATTGTCCCATAACCGAAGAGTTGCAGGTTTGATTCCCAGTCAGGGCACATACCTCGGTTGTGGGTTTAATCCTGACCAGGTGCATACAGGGGGCAACCGATTGATGTTTCTCTCCCTTCCTCTCTCCAAAAGGAAAAAAAAAAAACTTAAAAAAAAGTGTCTGATATTGTAACTTCCTAATAAATGGCGATTATTATTTTTCATTTTAATTCATATTTTACTTTTAAACAGCTACAATTCTTTTTTTCCAAGTGTGTGTGGTAGGGAGGAAATTTTCCTCTATCCTCAAGATTCTTTTTGCTAGTCTAATAACCAAATAGACATGAGACAGATTAGCAAGATAAAATAACCAAATTTAATACATACATATGTATCAGAACCCCACATATATGAGTCAGAGACCTCATATGCATAAGCAATTTAGATACAGAAATGGAACATGGGTATATAAGACATTCTGAGCTAGGGATGAGAGGTAAGATGCCTTGGGGGCCTCAAAAAGTCATTGCAGAATGATAAAAAGAGCAGATGTTTAGTAATTAGAATTTTGCCCTGCCCATATAGGTGGATCAAAAGAGGTTATCTCTGATAATCTGTTATTATGGGAAAGGCCCCTAATTCAGGTTCTAGGTAGTTAAGGGAGGGGCAGAAATTTCTCTTGAGTCTGAAGCTAAAATCTTTAGCTGAAAATAATCTGTGTACTACAGAAGCCCATTTGAGGGTGGCTCGTTCTGAACCCCCACACCGGTGACATAATCCTTTTTTTCTCTGTGTGTTTGTGTCTCTGTTTGTTGTAACACTTTATGCATACTTGACAAAAACTGGGAACAACTCTGTTATGGGCTGAAATGTATGATGCCAAAATATGAAGTCTTAGCCTCCAGAACCTCAGAATGCAGACTTATTTGGAAATAGGGTTGTTGCAGATGTAATTGGTTGAGATGAAGTCATATTGAAGTAGATGAGGTCATACTGAACACCTAATATGACTGGTGTCCTCATAAAAGAGGGAAACTTGAACACAGATATGTACAGAGGGAAGACAGTTGTGAAGGCATGCTATAGAAGATGGCCATGTGATCACAGAGATGCGTCTGAAAGCCAAGGAACACCAAAGATTGTTAGCAATCACCAGAAACCAGGAGGGACAAGAAAAGATTTTTCATCTGGGTTTCTGCCAGAAAGGCTGCTTTGTGAGGGCTCTGCCAACACCAGCCCATGTGTTCTGCGAGACTGTTTTTCTACCTATAAAAAAGGAGGGAATCTATCTAGAGCAGTGGTTTTCATAGCCCACCCATACCCCCAATTACCTCCTTGAGCTTTCCTTTTGTGGAATTGGAGGTGGGGGGTGGGCTTGGAGCAAAAGGGAATTCAGACATCACGGGGCTGTGGACTCACAGATCTGTGTTAACTGAACTGGTTGTGCTCTTGTCTCATGTGTTTTTTTTTTCTTTTTATCTAAAATGACCTGGATTAGAATGGCTGTTCCCAGCAAGCGCCAGGGACCTGGGGAATTTAAATAGTTCTGGATTCCACAGCCTACTTCTGGGGACCACTCACTTGTCCCTTTGGCAAATTCCTCCACGGATCATAGTGGATCTTAGGACACTGGCTCTTAATGGTCAGCGATTCTAAACAAGGCCTTTGGTGGTGGTGGTGGGGTAGTGGCTGGAATTGTGCTTCTTGCTTCTTGCTTGTACATAGATTAAACACAGTGACACAATGGGAACTCTGAAAAGGCTCTATATCTAGGCTTCCTTTAAGGCAGAATACTAAGGAAACTTAAACCATTTGTTTCTACAGACAGTGAATTTTTGGAAGAGCACTTTGTAGATAACAAGAGCTGTGCCTAGATGGGGAAAATGTCATTGTGCATATGAATGTGCTGACCCCCACCCAGCAGGGCCAATGAGTATCATTAATAACAAGAGCTGCCCTTTACTCGAAGCATGGAACCATTCATTTGCTAGGTCTCATGCTAAGGAATCTAAAACTTACAACCAACCTGTGAGAAATGGGCTATCACTGCTTTGACAGGTGAGGAAACAGGCCCTCAGAGCCCCCAGGTCACAATGGGAGGAGGTATCAGAGATGTCAAGACTGTGTCCTAGCCAGCAGCTCCAGCCTTCCAAGTCAAAGCCCATAAGAGAAACCCCTGAGGCCTGGTGTCAGGCCTGTTCTTTCAGCACTTGCCCTGGAGAAGGGCATTAATGTCCTTTTTCACAAAGGCTGGTTGGAGTTGCCAAGGGTACCTTAAGGCCTTGGCATCTAGTACAGTACTTGAAAAAACATTTTAAAACTTTATATAGTGGAATGGTTTTTTTGAAAACTATTTTATATGTAAATACAATCTAGAAAATCAGAGTTGGGCCACTGTGGTTGAAGGTAAGGGCAGGCTGGCCTGATATTTCCCCAAAGCCCCCAGGTCTACCAGAGTACCCCATGGCGGCCACTTATCTAGTAGGTTGGCTCTTATATCATGCAGGGGGTGTCCTGATGTCTAAGGCTCTGGTTTTGGGGTGGAAAGAACCAGACGGGATTCTGGGGGGTTCACTCTTGGATTAGGCAGCATGGGGCAGGACCCAGATGCAGGCCCATCTGAGCTGAGCACTGCCTTCCCCACCCTCCTCTCTGGCTAGGCCCCAGCAGCCATAACCAGCTGCATATAGGATAAGAAATACTATCACCATCTTGCACTAAATGGATTTTATTCTTTAAAGATAAAGCTCAGTAAGCTAAAAATTCCAACAGCCCTCCCTTTTTGCTTGCCCTTCTAAAAGGCATTGGGTTTTCTTTACTGATTCAAGTTCAGAGATCATGTTCGATGTTGGTATAGGATCAATAGCAGATGTGAGGGGCTGACTAGCCAGGATGACTTACATTGGCATCATCAAATGGAGTTCCTTCTGGTAGATGTCTGGGATCATACCCACTGGAGAATTGATCATCCGTATGGTGTTTTTGGTAAATAGCTTGAATTCATAATGAATAAGTTGATCCCAAAAGCCGTTATTGGGTCGGATGATGGGGCGGCATAACTTGGTCCATTCATGGGCGTCCAGCAGCGACATGGTGTGGTACTTCATAAGGAAGGCCATGCAGACAGCGGCAGAGCGGCTCACGCCAGCAGCGCAGTGCAGCAATGTGCGGCCCTGTTTCATTTCCACACTGTGGATATGATCAGCTATGGGGTCAAAAAAATCGTAGAGACGTGCGCTGGGAGAGTCGGCCACCGGTACCTTTAGGTATTGGATGTCCTCAAAATACGTGTTGACTACCTCCTCTGAAACATTGATGACAGTAGTGATGTGGTGGCTGGACAACATGAGTCTGTTGTTAGCTGTCACAGCATTACTTATATACAGGCTTCGGGTTATCTGGGAGAGGCCATGGACCCCTGAGGGCTGTGGGACAGGCTCAGTAGGGAAGGAACTCGATGGTGTTGTCATCAGGTGGCAGGGCAGCTGTATCCTTGGGCCAGTTTCAGGGCACCACTCCCACTGGTGTGCAGGAAACTGCAGTGTGGCAAAGCTTATGATGGGGGTCTGAGAGACAGTAGACAAGGCACTGGTCATTACTCTTTCCTGCCTCTAGTGTCACAATCCCACTGGTTTCCATGGCAATATCAGCTTGCCACAGGGAGTAGTTGGCCAAGATCTGTAGAGAAACTCCAGATCTTTTCTTATCTTTCTCTACAGTCATTTATTTTCCAAGCCCTAATTATTTTTTAATTTCATATTTAAATTACAGTTGACATTCAATATCAGCCCTAATTCTTATCTGTCTTGACATTTTAAAATGTTTTGTAACCAGATATGTATTTTATGTTTCAATTATAGGACCACACTGAACACATTATCTATGAATGCTTCTTTATTTTGTTGGTGTTGCAGAGCAGGGATTATACTTTTTCTTCAAAGTAGCAGTATCATATTTTAAGTTGGGGAACAGTCTTTGGCTCATGTGATATGCTAATCTCTATAAACCTGCAGTAAGATATGGGTTTGGCTGGGCTTGGTGGGCTGGCCTGATACATCTTTGTTGATTGTAGCCATGGAATTATGCTCCTACTTACAAACACATCAGGACTGGCTTTAAGGGAACATTGCTAGCTGGTAATATATAGTACTTTATCTATGGTGAAGTTGGCCTGTGGTGGACAGTTGTGATTAATTTAGCTGTGTCACAGTCCATTTGTGTATATGGCCCAAATGATTTATCACTTGAGTTTACTTTTTTACCTGAAACAACAGCTCATATTGTCTTGCCTACTTTCTTGAAAAAGAATGCCCATATGCCTTGTAAACTCTAAGTCATTCTGACCACCACTGACAGTCTCTCCCAGTAATGTTAAAATTTCTGGAACAAGTCAATGCTACATCATAATTGGGCCAAAATAGATTTTAAAAATGTTACCTGAGATTTACGTTTCCCCTCAGTTAAGATTTTTGTAGAATTTGACTAAAGATTCAAAAGAACTGCAGCCTAAAACAAATTGTTTCACAGAGTAGCTAATAGACATATTATTTCACACTCATGCCTAGTCATTTTCGGTTGAATGCAAAGGTATACTGTGACTATGAGCAAGGATGACATACATGTTAGCTTGTTTGTAAATTATCAAGTAAATGATAACCTTAAAAGACAACACTTCTTTTTCTCAATTGTCATAATCAGATTATTTCACATTCCTTGAATTGTCATTCCCCACAAATCTATCTGGAAGAAAACAAAACACAAATACTAAATAAATAGAAAATTGTCTATTGGGGAAAGCTCAATTGAGCTAAAATTATTTAAAAGGGTTTAACCTAACATTTGAAATATGGCATCCTGAGAAGCTTTGTACTCTATGGACTAATGTGCAACCCCTTAAAAAAGTTTTAGAGTCTAGTTATTTAAAAAATATATGCTTCTCAAACTTTAAAAATGTAGTAAGATTAACCAAAATAATTTCAAATACCGTTCCCAAAGACAAACATCACTTGTATTAAATAGATGCATTTTAAAATCTCCAGTCAACATTTTGTGATATCTTTTTGTTTAAGGGATGTTGGATGTCATAAAGCTCTACAATGTGGCTTTTCCTGCATTTGGAAACAGGTCTCTTTCAGATTCCCACCTGTCTCTGCTTTTCCTTATTATTCAGGGAAGAAGATATGTAAAAGACTTGCCCCCTAAAACACTCTTTTCCTGTCATTTGGAGAAGACCTTGCATGTTGGTCCATTCTCTCTTTCTGGATGTAGTGGAGCAGAAGGTGCCATAATGGGAGTCAACATCTGCCACAACAAAGACTGAAAGGTTCAACACAAGGAGACCAAGAGCCAGGACATCTACCTAAGGCTGTTGGTCAAGCAATACAGGTTTCTGGCCAGATGAATGAACCCCACCTTCACCCAGGTGATGCTGAAGAGGTTGTTTGTGAGTCACACCAACCAGCTGCCTCTGTCCCTTTTTTAGATGATCAGGAAGATGAAGCTTCCTGGCAGCTAGGGCAAAACTGCTGTGGTTGTAGGGACTATAACTGATGACCTGCATGTTCAGGAGGTGCCCAAACTGAAGATGTGTGCACTTCATGTGAGCAGCCACTCCTGGAGCTGCATCCTCAAGGCTGGGTGCAAGATCCTTACCTTCGACCAGCTGGTCCTGGACTCCCCCAAAGGCTGTGGCACTGTCTTGCTTTCTGGTCCTTGCAAGGGCTGAGAGGAATAGAGGCATTTCAGCAAAGGCCCAGGAACCCCTCACATCCACATTGAACCGTACCTATGCTCTAACAGCTGGAAGTTTGAGCACACAAGAGGCCAATGGGCCATACGTGGCTACAAAAACTAACCCTAGATCCTACCTTGTTATTTAAAAGATTTTGGATGCTGAGAGAAAAAAAGACCTTGCATGTCAAGAATTAGATAATGTTTAGATTTTTCAATTCAGCAGTCAAGGCCTTTTCCAATCTGATCTAAGCCTGCCTTTCAAATCTCATTTATTCATTGATTCACCAAATTTCTATTAAGAATCTAGTGTGTTAGACATTTTCATTTATGTAAATCTTCAGTTCTGACCAAGCAAATCAAATGTCCTTGATAAATACAAAATATACATTCCTGCTTCCATACCTTTGCTCACATCATTCCTTTCACTTTAGAAAACTTTCTCGCTCCTGTCTGCTTACTGAAACCTACACAAGCCTCAAGCCTCAGCCTGATCAATTTAAATAAGCATCCCCTGAGCATCCAGCTTATGTCATGTACAGTTCAAGCACTGTGTACATCCTATACAACACAAAGGCTCAGATATCAAAGAGCTTACAGTTTGATCAGAGAGATAGATAATCATTAAAGAGTCCAGAAGAGAGGATGATTCATTGTTTTATGTGTGTGTTTGAGGAGTGGGGGCAGCAGCAGGATGTTATGAAATGCTACACAGAAAACATGACCCAGAACAAAGCTTTTTGTTCATTTGCTTGTTTTCATTATTTATTCTGTCCACTTTTTTTTCAAGTAAAAGAGAGTTTATTAGTGAAGCAGTGAGACAGAGAGGAGGCTACTCCATTGGCAGAGAAGCTGTCCAAATTTTTGTTTGGAAAAATTTCAAACATAGAGAAAAGCTAGAAGAATAGAACAATGAACACCCCTTTACCCTTCATCTATAATTCCTCTATTGTTAACACTTTATCACCACATTCCCTTTTACTTTCTATTTAGACATACAAACACATATTTGTTTCCTTATTTTCTTTTTGCTGAACCACTGCTTGTTAATTGTAGATATGGCAACACTTTATACCTTCAGTATGCATCTCCTAAGAGCAAGTATAGTACATTCTCCTACATCACCACAATACAATGACCATACTCAGAATATTTAACATTGACCCAACATTATCTAATATATAATCCATATTCAAAACTCACCAATTCTTCCAATAATGTTATCTGTAGCCAATTTCCCCCCACCAACCCCATTCCATTTGACCCAGGATGGAATCAAGGATCACATGTTGCATTTATTTGTCATGCTTCTTTACCATTTTTAATTTGGAAGTTTCCAAGGCTTTTTTTGTTTGTTTTGTTTTCTTTTGGTCTTTCCTGACATTGACATTTTTAAAGAGTTCAGGCCAGTTTTGCATAACATCTTTCAACTGGCAAGAATACTACCAGAATATGTCATTCCCTGTACATTGTATTGGGGACATATGATATCTCTTTGTCTTATTAATGACGGTGATAATTTTGACCACCTGGTTAAAGTAGCATTAGCTAGGTTTCCACATTATTAAAGTAACTTTTCCTCTGTTTAACTCATAAAAAATATATAGGGTGGTACTTTAAGTTTGTGAGAATATTTTTGGATTAGGACTTTGAAGGATGAATAGAACTTTCCCAGGCAGATAAGTAGAGGGAATATTCTAGACAGGAAGAGAAGTACATACAAAGGCACAAAGGTGTGAAATGGTGTCAGGAGAGCAGAGAACAACAACTCCAAATTACTAGAACACAATGAAGCAGGAGTGTGGCAAGTGGAATGGCTAGAGGAGCCAGCAGTGGTGGTCACAGAGAGTCTTGCAGCAGACAATTGGGTTTGATCCTGTAGGCCACGGTGGCACACTAGAGTATTTTATGCAGGGAAATGGCATAACCAGAATGGATTTTTAGGAAGCTCACTTACAGCTATATGAATGGATTTGTGGAGGGACGATGTGGTTGGGAGAAAAGCAAAATTTGAGAGAGTGAGAGCTATCGCAATAGTCTAAGTGAAGTGATACATCTATTGCAGACTCTTTTCTGACATGAAAGCTGGATTAAATCCAAATACAGTTCATGTCCTCAAGTATACACATGGGCCAGGCCACATATGAGAATGGAATATCAATCTTCCTCTGGATCAGTGTCTAGAGAGTTTGGTGTTTTGAGGGTGAACAGTGAAGGCAAGAGGCTGCTGATGTAGGTAATGTGTTTACATTGGAGGGCAGTGGTGGTGACAAAAACCTAAAGGAGTATGGGAGGAGGACACCAGAGAGCTAGTAGCTAAAAGGAATTGCATGCTCTGCTGTCTGATAGATGAATAGGGTGGGTGGTCCCCAGCTGAAGGCCCTAAGGCAGAGGTGGGAGTTGGCTTCCCCAGTATTCGATGCAGCAACAAACCAGCTCTCTAGGACTCTGGGCTCAGTCTAGTCCTTCATTTCTGGATGATGAAAGGAGACAGATGGATATGAATGTGGAAGTCTTTAAATGACACCCTCGAGTCCAGGATACAGATATGAGAAAATTATTGTGACTTGTTTGTTAGAGGGGGAAATAGTTTAGAAAAAAGTAGGTACCTTTTTGTAAAGGTGAAATATATGCCAATGTATATGAGTCATACTTATGTATATATTATATATATTAAAACCTATTTATGAATCCTATTTGTGGAAACATCAGCTATCTAAAGCAGTCCTAGGTATATAGTAAGAATTCAATAAATATCAGATATTATTTAGTATTATATTTTTGTGGTAGGATCAAAGGGGGACTATTCTTTTTGCCTATTTATTTTTCAAACTTTCTAAAATAATTTGTGCTACTTTTAAAATTAGAAAAAATAATCAAAACATATTTAAATGTCATCAACACATTTTTCTGGTCTATAAAATGAGCAAAGATGAAGAACTAATACTCTATGGTGACAGAATTCAGAGAAATGGGTACTCTCTTCCACTGCCAGGGTTGGAGCTGGAGGATAACAACATGGCCCAACAACTGTGGTGGTGAGGATGAAGAGCAATGAAAACCCTCACAGTGATAGTGGTAGGGTAAGGTGCTACAACCAATGTGGAGACCAATTTGGCAATAACCACTAAAGATGAAGACAAACACCCAATTCCCCAGCAATCCCACCCCGGGAGAAACTCTTGCTCATGTATGCAAGAAGATAGTATTTACAAGAATATTTATTGTAATGTTGTTTATAATAGTGAAAAAATGGAGACAATATAAATGTCTCCTAAGAGACCATGGAAATTTGATAGCATAGTCATATTATGAATACCCCATAAAGAGCTTTGAAAACAACTGAACTAGAACTACATGGATAAGGCTCAAACGTATAGTGCTATACAAAAAGAGCAAGTTGCAGGAGAAAATATACAATATAAAAGTTAAAAACAAGTAGAACAGTGCCACACGGCCTATACATTCATATGCATATAGAGTAGGACAAAAGGAGGTTTACAAGTTGTGAGTACACGAAACACAGAGTTTATTGTTTCGTTATTATTAATTATTGTATTACTTTCCATACAAACAACTATAAACCTAATTTGCCCACCCTCTATATAAGAAAAGTTAAAAACTCACATGGCTCTTTCCACCCCTGGTCGCTGCAGCCTCTGCTGCTTTACGGCCCAGCGGCCTGAAGTAAAAAAAGAGATAAAGATTTAAAGAAAAATCCAAAAACGCTTTAAAAATCTCAAGAAAATAAAAAAGGTAAAAGGGAGGGGGAGGGGAGGAGAGAGGAGGGGAGGGGAAGCAAATCCCCCTCAGAGAATCTGGGGTTAAGTCACTTTAGCACGCCTTCGCCAGACTGCGCCCACCGCCACCGCCACCGCCACCAGGCAGTCTCCGTCTGTCTGTCGGTGTGTTGGTGAGCCGCCCCTGTTCCAGCACCTCAGCTCCCGCAGTGGGTCTGCGCCGGGTCGCACCTCCGCGACCCTGCGTCCCGGCAACCCCGCGCCCAGCGCGCCACCACCCCCCGACCCCGCGCGCACCGGGTGTCCGTGCTGCCCTCTGCGGCGCGGCATGGAAGCGGCTGCGTGCTACTTCCCGGGGATCGGCGAGTCGGCTCAGAAAAGTATTTTGTATTCCCCCTTCCCTGACTGCTGTAATCTTAAACCGCCAGGAGTCCGGTGCCTACGTTTATAGAGAAATGCTTGTCCAGGAGGCCGCGTGGGCACCGTTTGGCTGCCTCTTTAAGAATTTTTATAATTTGGAGGAAAATGCCCACTTTAACACGTTTGGTTTTGATTTGGGGCTTCAGACCAGAACAGCTGGAAATTACAAACTCCCAGGGAGGGCCATATTGTTTTTGAGAGCCTTTTGTCTGCGATCTTGCACTCTCCAGCAAGCTGCCCCGAACTCTTTCTCCCCTCCTGTTTCTCAGCTTCACTCTGTCACCTGTGACCCCGCGGCGCTGCCCTGGCTCCGAGAAGAGCCCCTTTGTTCCTTGTGGCCCCTATAAGAAGTCCTCCTGGCAGGGATTGGGGTGATGGGGGCTGGGGAAATGAACGCTGCTGCCACCAGCTACCCCACGGTCTGCCTGTTTGTGGGTGACCTGCACTCGGACGTCACCGAGCCATGCTGTATGCAAACTTAAGTGCTGCGGGGCCTATACTGTCCATCCAGGTCTCCCGCGATTCGATCACCTGCTGTTGCCTGGGTTCTCCCTTCATCAACTTCCAGCAGCCGGCTGACACTGAGCAGGCCTTAGACACCATGAACTTTGATGTGATTAAGGGAAAGCCAATCCACATCATGTGGTCTCACAGGGACCCCTCTTTGAGGAAATTTAGTATAGGAAACGTCTTCATCAAGAACCTGGACAAATCCATAGAAAATAAGGCACTTTGATACTTTTTCTCCTTTTGGAAACATTCTGTCCTGCAAGGTGGTTATGTGACAAGAACAGCTCTAAGAGTTATTCCTTCATTCCCTTTAAGACCCAAGAGGCTGCAGACAAAGCCATGGAGAAGACTGTGGCCTCCTCAAAGACTGCAAAGTGTGGGCACATTCAAGTCTTCAAAAGAGCAAGAGGCCGAGCTTGGAGCCAAAGCCAAGGAATTCACCTATGTGTATATCAAAAACTTTGGGGAAGAGATGGATGATAAGAGTCTGAAAGAGCTGTTCAGTCAGTTTTGTAAGACACTAAGTGTCAAGGTGATGAGAGATCCCAGTGGAAAATCCAAAAGCTTTGGTTTTGTGAGTTATAAAAAACATGAGGATGCCAATAAGGCAGTGGGAGAAATGAATGGAAAAGAAATCATTTTTGTAGGTTGTGCACAGAAGAAAGTAGAATGGCAGGCTAAGTTAAAATGGAAATTTGAACAGATGAAACAAGAGAAAATTAGTAGGTATCAGGGGGTGAATCCCTACATTAAGAACTTGGATGGCACAATTGATGATGAGAAGTTAAGGAAAGAGTTTTCTCCTTTTGGATCCATCAGATCCATCACAAGTGCTAAGGTAATGCTGGAGGAGAGGAGAAACAAAGAATTTAGCTTTGTTTGCTTCTCATCTCCTGAAGAGGCAATCAAAACAGTCACTGAGATGAATGAATGCATTGCAGGCTCCAAGCCACTGTATTCATTCTTGCCCAAAGGAAGGAAAAGCAAAAGGCTCACCTGACTCTGTGCAGTGCATGGCTGGAACAAGAGCATTCCCTGCCAATACCATTTTTTAAAAAGATTTTATTTAGATATTTTTAGACAGAGGGGAAAGGAGGGAGAAAAAAAGGGAGAGAGACATCAATGTGCAAGAGGAACATCACTCAGTTGCCTCTCTCCTGCCCGGAACTGGAGACATGGCTTGCAACCCAGGCATGTACCCTGATTGGAAATTGAACTGGTAACCTTTCAGTCTGCAGGCCAGCACTCAGTCCACTGAGCCACACCAGCCAGGGCCCAATGCCATCTTAAATCAGTTCTAGCTTGCAGCTGGTGGCTATTTTGTGCCAGCAGTTCCACAGGCTCAGGGAAGACCTCCATATTACATACCTAACCAGTTACACAGATGAGACCTAATTCACACTGACAGCAAGGTGGGAGACCCCCAGGCTTCCAGCAAATGCTAAGTCCTGTATGCCAGGCTGGAACTCATAAAACTCCTCACCGCCTGGCTTCAACTGGGTCTCTGTGCCCGGACCTCTTGGCTATGGACTTTGGTGGGGCTGGTGCCTCCCAGTAAGGGCTGACTGATAGCTGCCAGTCTGTAGGTATTCCCACAGCTGTGCAGAATTTAGCATGTCAGGCTGTTGTAGCTGCTTCTACTCCATAGGCTGTCGCACCTTATAAATACGCCTCCAGTGTCCACAGCCCCCACCCTCCCGTACCACCTCTGCAGGCATCCTAGCTGCTTCCATGCTGGCTGCAACTCACCTGGCCCCCACCCCCGCCCCAGGAACAGAAGCAGATGTGGGGAGAATGTTTGTTCTAACTCATCCAAACCATCCATTTGGACCTGGCTGGCAAGATCACAGGAATGCTGCTGGAGGTGGACAACTCTGAGCTGCTGCACATGCAGGAGTCCCCCAAGTCTCTCTGCTCCAAGGTGGATGAAACTGTGGTAGTACTACAGGCTCACCATGCCAAGAAAGAAGCTGCCCAGGTGGGCACTATTGCTGCTGCTACCTCTTAGACAAGGAAAAACTGATTCAAAATCCAAATAACCCCCCAAGGAATTCAGCTCAAGGTTTCAACACTTCCTACCTTGTCCTATGGACCAAGAACCACAAATTGCAAATTTAATAGGTCATTTTGTTTCAAAAGGTAAATTATGAAACACCTAGAATATCTTCAGTATATTTTGTTGATTATGCTATTACAGTTGTCCCATTTTTTCTTCCCTTTATACTCCTCCACCCAGTACCCCCATTCCCTCAGGCAATCCTCCCTCCTTAGTTCATGTCCATGGGTCATACATACAATTTCTTTGGCTTCTCCATTTCCTATACTATTCTTAACCTCCCCTTATTTTGTACCTACCAATTATGCTTATTTCCTGTAGATTCTCCCCTATTCTCCCCACTCACCCTCCCCGCTGATAACCCTCCATTGATCTCCATTTCTGTGATTCTGTTCCTGTTCTAGTTGTTTGGGCCTAGTTTTTGTTTTTGTTTCCTTTAGGTTCAGTTGTTGTTAGTTATAAGTTTGTTGTCATTTTACTGTTCATAGTCTTTGATCTTCTTTTTCTTAGATAAGTCCCCTTAACTTTTCACATAATAAGGGCTTGGTGATGATGAACTCTTTTAAATTTACCATATCTGGGAAGCACTTTATCCTCCCTTCCATTCTAAATGATAGCTTTGCTGGATAAAATAATCTTGGATGTAGGTCCTTGCCTTTCATGACTTTGGTTTTTTTTTTTATTTTTAAATCATGTTTATTCTATTACAGTTGTCTCTATTTTTCCCCCTATGCCCCCACCACCCATCCCACCCCCAACTCCCACAATTTCCACTCTGTTGTCCATATCCATAGGTCATTCACACATGTTCTTTGTCTAGTTCCTTCCCTTTCTTTCCACCATTGTCCTCTTTCCTCATCCCCTCTGATCACTTTCAGTCTGCTCCATGTTTCCATGCCTATGGTTTATTTTGTTCATTAGTTTATTTTGTTGAATAGAGTCCACTTGGAGGTGAGATCGTATGGTATTTGTCTTTCACCAACTGGCTTGTTTCACTTAGCATAGTATTCTCCAGTTCCATCCATGTTGTTGCAAAAGGTAGGAGTTTCTTTTTCTTTCTCTCTCTCTCTCTCTTTCTTTCTTCCTTCTCTTTCTTTCTTTTCTTCCTTTCTTCTTCTTTAAATGCAGATTGATTTTATTTACTTTTTTAAATGTCAAAGTCAATTATAAAATATTAAAAATTTTAAATCCATTATAAAGTCTCAGCAATTAAAACAACATGATACCAGCACAGAAATAATCAAGTAGATAAATGAAATATAATGAGCATTCTAGAAACAAATGTATATATCTGTTAACAAACATATATATCTAACAAGGTAATATACGATTAAATTGATTTTTAAATCAATGGGGGAAAATAAGGTTTACTAAACCTAAGGTGCATGGACCACTATTGCTTGATTAAAAAATATATAGAGCCCTATTTCACACATTATACAAGAAATATTCAGATGAGTTAAAAATCAATATGTAGAATCTAAGGAGTTTTAGGAGAAAATACAAACTAATATTTTTCTTACCCTGAAGTAAAATATTCAAATCCAGAAGCTATAAGGTAAAATATTGACAATATGACTATATTAAACATTTAACACTATACAGTAATATACATATAGAAAAAGTTAAAGGACAAGTAATAGAATGGGGAAGTCCTGTATGCCAGGCTGGGACTCATAAAAAAGATGTGTTGCCGCACATCTAAAAAAGGGTTAATAGATTTTTTTTTTTTTTTTTTTTTTAGGGAAAAAAATTCTACAAACCTTTAATCAATAAATGGATAAAGAATACCAAACAGTCATTTAAAGCTTTTTAAAAATAATAGAAACAGGCAAGTAATACAAAAACAGGTTTAGTTTCAACAAAAAATAAAGGAACAATTAAAATAATGCATCATTGTTACAATCATATTAATACATATTAAAAAATTGGTAATATCAAGCATTGGC